AAACATTCATTCAATAATGTTGGTGGCTGAGGGATGATTGTGGCAAAGCTGAAAACGGAAAATATTGTCAATGCAGTTATTATTTTACTTAGTTCTTTTATACTTTTAATGCTGAGTATCCTAAAGGCGTTAATGGACATTGCAAAAATGTATTTATTCTTTTAGAACATTTGCTTTTAAATTCAAAATGCAATTGTAAGGCTCAATTGCCAACTTTTGTCGATCATTTTATTTCTTCTATGAAGTAGAAAACTTTTGTAGTGTTAATTAATGGCATGTAGTAGAGATTTTAAGTATTCTGTGTTTGCAAAAAATGTGCTATTTATAATTGTGTGATTGATTTTCTTTAGCTTAGTTAAAAGATCCTCTATATTGGTCAAATGGTCATGGATATGCACCTGAAAAAATGCTTATTTAATGGTAAAACAACCAAATAAAATTGGTCAAATAAATTGGTAAATTTAACCATTTTGTTTTGGTATTTTGACCAATTTAGGAATTGGTTGTTTTGACCTATAAAAATTGTTCTTCTCAGGTGCATTCAAATGACCAATTTTTGGTCATTTTGACCAATCTATTTTACTGTGTAGAACATTGGATTCCAGGGTTAGAAAATTACTTGATCATAAAACTAAATGGCATTTTCAAATCTTGAAAAAGTTTGACGTAAAATAATATTAAATATATAATTTTATTTTGACTATGTTGATTAAATCTACTTCATTCAGTAGCTAAATAATTGCAGGCTACCAACATGTATGAATTGCGTGCCAATTTTTTTAAATGTATGCCATTGTATTTAATAAACGCAGTGTTTTGGGAGATGTACCCAAAAGCCAAGAAATGAAAAGAAACGTGAATATTCATGATAACTACGATAAATAATGTTATGACAAATGGCTTCACTTGGCCCCAAATGTGGACACTGTTTTTTTTCCAAACCAAAACGAAATGGGAGGGAAAACCGGCGGATCAGGTAAAAAACCCTCCAATAAAAGAAAAAATTAAAAATTTTCCAGAAATGCATCAATATTTTGTAGTGTTTTATGATGTTTTATATTTTGTTGTTTTCAATGATCCCGATGATCTACTTTAACATGCAGCGTAGTCAGATCGTGCGTCTTATACAGTCGTATAAAAATTTAAATTTACGGAGCAATAAAATGTGGGCTGACTACCCTATTGACAGCAAATATTTTTTGTTCGTACAAAAGAAACGCAAACTTTTTTAGAGCACAAAAAATGAAATAGTGCAGAGTGTTAACAAAAATTGTAATCAATAGACGAAAAACGAAAACTAATAGCAGCCATATACAAATCATGTATAAAAATTATTCAGTACGTAGGGACCTGACCATTCACCTGCCCATAACAATTAAAAATGAAATGACTAAAGAGACGTTATGACTTGCATAAAAATAATTTTTATGTCTGCTAGACTTTATTCCATTGAAATTTTCTATGTTGCCTCATTAATTAATAGCTGGCTTTCACTCGTGTGTTTTGTCAGAAAATTTAACAATTGTGAACATTTAGTTATACGGAAAATTTTTAACGGTCGAATTTGAAAATGCGTTATATTGATAGACATTATGGATAAATAAATTAGCAAGTGTGCATCTTATAATAACGACGTTTGTTTCTTGGTGTTTCTGCCCGACTTCGTCGTTTATTCATTGTCCAGTTAGAAGGCCTACAGACATAGCTACTCTATAAAAAACACGTTATAAATGTCAGCATAATGAAGGAACAAAACAGAAATTAATTATATTGAAAAGAACAAAACTTTAATACCTGATTTCCAAGGGTTGTCCTGGTCAGTTTGATCCAGGCGACTTGGTCGGTCTCTTCCTTTTTTCACCGCGTAGTTTTACGTTGTATCGTTGAAATTAATTGTAAAATTTTTATCTTAGTAATTCAATGAACCCTACTTGCATCATTGCAATTTTCTTAATAAACGTTAAATAAAATTACTAAAAGTAGCGAGTGAAAGCCAGCTATTTTCTCACAGCAAGTGACATCTTTTATTGACACTTTTTTAAGTTGGGTGTTTTTCATGGTTAAGTTTCAAATTATAAAGATAGACCATCAGGATCCTTTTTAACTATCTCATGCAGTTACTCATACAAGTTAATTTTAACACTTATATCTACTCAACTTACAAACCACAAGATATAGATCGTGTTTTTCCACTCGCTTGTTTTCCATCTTCGTAGAATGTAGTCCATTTTTATAGTGCAATCACTTCAATGTAAATGTTCATACGTACATATGCCGTTATGCGATGTCCATTCAACATGTCGATACCATTCCATACACGAAGTAAGGAGCATCATCAACCAATAAAGAAGCTACTGATATGATGAATCGCCATTTCGATAGACTACAATTCACAATGCACTGTTATGGTAACTTCAAGCGAAGGAAAAGGGACCGCCCTTCAATACCCCAGTTTTATCATTACTCAAAGAATGCTTAGTGCAGAGTTGATCTTCTGTGAGTATCAGTTGACCACCTTTAGGTGGGTTCATATAACAATGGGGCCCATCATCATTATATGAACAAACAACTGACATCAACAAAGAATCCAAACTACAAATGAACATTCTTGGCCATGAATCACCATGACACATGAGTAATGACAAACTAGTAAGAGTAATTGAAGTGAATGACACAGGTGGTAAAGGGACTTTCACAACTCCATTCTTGTGGGATCTACAATATAAGAAAATATGAAACACATGTATGAGATTTCATGATGAATAACTCTGCATATGACGTTAGTTTGCGTTTTAAATTCTTAATCAGATATATTGAGAATGAGCAAATTGTTATATGTTTTCTGTTTGACTATTTAAACGGTAGAACATTCACCTTCATTGCACGAATAGCTTTAGTGAGTTGAGTTTGAACGATGTAACAAGTTTCACACGATCAAAGGCTTATAATCGTGATGAAAGCATTTTACAGTGAAAGCTTTCAAATTACGAGGCCTACACTAAGACCAGTTCATTATTCCATGTAACTCATACTTCAGTATTCGTCAGTAAAAAGACAGAATTTACCTTTCTTCCTACAACGTTAAAGTGAGTAATTTTCTGTTGAAGTAAAACACACGAATTTAAACATGTTAACGTTTCTTTAATTGACGTCATAACTAAAATTATTATTGTGATTGGCTCCTTAGGAACATGTCACCTTCCACAAAGACAACAAGTAATCCTTCAATGCGCTTTTAAGGCCTGTTTCAAACATTGTATTTTACATGTGCTGAATGTATTTAAGACAAAAGATAATAAGGAATTTTATCTCATTATCTTTTCTTTTAAATGCATTATGTAAAATGCAATGTTTGAAACAGGCCTAAAAACATTGAAGGATTACTTGTTGTCTTTGTGAAAGGTGACATGCTCCTAAAGAGCCAATCACAATAATAATTTTAGTCATGACGTCAATTAAAGTAACGTTAACATGTTTAAATTCGTGTGTTTTACTTCAACAGAAAATTCAAATGACGACCGCTAAGGTTTTTGAAAGTTAAATATTCGCTGTGCAAATTATTTACCATCCAGTCATAGTGGACTTTGCTCTAAGAAATTTGACAATTTACACGGTGTAAATACTGTGAAATCAACTCTAAAATCTCGCAAAAAACTTTTTCTCAATGACCAATGAACGAAAACGGTCACTTTCAATTTCGCGTTGGAAATGGGTTCTTGGTAGATAAATGAAAAATGTGCCACAGGAAAACAAATAGTAAAATATCTTCGCAAAGTGAAAGTTTTAATGAGAAAAACATGTTATTTTATCATTATGAAAATGTTATCTATGTTCTTTTCACATGCTTTCCTTGACTTTGAAAAATGTTCAAAAAACAATAATTTTACATGGGTAAACAAAGAAATTGTTCCCGTGAGATGAAACGTAACATGTAAAATTTACCTTCCATCTTTACTAAATGATGTTTGTCGAACGGCTGCTGTACATTTAGGATGAGAGAGAACTTTCTGCCTGCGTGGGAATTAAACAAATAAAATTGCATTAAGATGATGTATGTTGTTACCATTGAACATGGAACGCTACCTAAAGCAAATAATTAAAGCCAAATCTTACATCCAGACACGCGAGATTACACCCAGACACGCGTGTTTAGTGTTTCGAGATTCTCTCGCGGAGTGAAAATTGATTGACTACACATGTCCCCCGCAGTCCTCGTCATCACCAGGACCATCCATTGAGACAAACGTAAAGGTGGTTTCCAGTCCATTTCCTCTTCATCCTCCGAACTGCAAGTGAAGAAGACAGCTACTCAAAACTTTAGAGAAGATTGATTGTTTTTCATTTAAGATGTTTACAGTGTTTGCACAAGATTATGAAAAGCAAGGAGACCTGCTCCAAAGTTCTCACAAACGTCTCCGAGGTTTGCATAAGCCTGTGTAAACACGAAAAACATCTTTTACTTCTTTTATAAAACAACGATAATACAAAACAGACAAATTAAAAACAAATGTTTTAATTTTTCCTGTAACATGTATTCATGATTGATTTGGAAATTCTCTTTGATTGATTTTAATTGATTGAGCTCAGATAGGTTCGCTCATGCCAAGTTTGCTAATGTTAACTCAACTATAGACAAATTAACGCACGCATTTTTCTGTCTTTATTTTATAAACAAAAATGGATACTTTTACCTTTGGGAATTATGTTCTTCTTCATCATCTTTCCAAAATGGCTGTGACATTAATGTTGATTCTTTATCTTCATCAATATCTTCATCATGTTCATCATCACTACCTTCTCAATAAACAATAAAATAAAAAAGATTGATTGAAAAACTTCATATAAGACAAGTTTTACTAAACACAAATGAAACTGTACACAATCACCATTGATATCCATGTCTAATTATGGTAGTTTTGATCTCAAAACAATATTCATATAATGGAGTGCTCATTCTTACTTTGTGAGCCCGCAATATGAGAACATTCATGCAGCAGTGTTTCATTGTCATCTTTATCCAAACTCATTAAAATCTCCACCAATTCTTTATCCAACTCTCCAGCTCAATAAATGTCTTATATTAATAAAATTTGAGACCTTGAGAAAGAAAGAATTATTTTTGGTGAATAATACATGATTTGCTGGCCTGGCTGGCTTGTAGTACATCTATAACTGACCGATCAACAACTGGACTATCCACGTCCACATCTAAAATAGAAGAAAATAGAAATATTTTATTGTATGATTATAACTTACAATAAGTTGGCAAAAATCATCAAAACCTTGGTTTATTGTTGCTTCACACTGCGGTTGCTTGCCTTGTGACAAAATACTTTGAGAAAATTCTTTAAAGTCTTCGGGTGAAAGAGATTTTTCCATTGTCTCCAACTCACTTTGACTGCAAGTTTATTTGAAATTCATAAAAATATTAAGTTAAATCATTAAACATCACAAGACCAAGTCTTACATCACTTTATTTCGTTCATCAATAATTTCTTACCTTGTGAAACAGGAAGAGCAACTTGTGAAGATAGTCCAGTATCTCGTCTTCGTTGTCTTTCATCTTCCCACATAGCAGTTATACCAGGATTATGACCAATACAACCTTCATAAACATAATAAACTCATTAAAGATGTATAAACAGTAAAATGAAGACATAAAGATAAGTAAATTTTACTTTCAACATTTATTTGATTCAAGATGTCTTCAGCAATTACATCAACTTCAAGTTCACAACGACTGACCTTCTTCACAGTAGGATCCAGGCATAAATTACTTAATAATGACAAATAACAAACATTAAAATAATGAATATCAACTGTAAAGATAGTTATCACAAAGAATCATTTCAAAGTTAAACTAATTTTTTAAAAGTAAATTCTGTAATCTGGATTGAGCATTGACTCTAAATCTTGGGATAAATCATACACACATGTGTCAAATTTAGGATTAAGGATTTACATAAATCCTTTTGGTTTCAATTAATCTTCAAGTGTAAAATATATGAATCAGACAAACCTAGGAATAGTGTCTTCATTCCAGTGTTGAGATGAAGGAAAATTGAGAAATGAATTTGGAGATGAACCATGAAGTGGAATTGATTTATTATTATATGAAAGATTTTTATCTATAAAATTCAATTTGATGGTAAATAATCATTTGTGGTGTTAGATTTTTATAGAATGCTGAAAAAATCAATAATGAAACTTTCCTGTTTTTGAAGAAATTCCTCTAAAATGAACTTTTCTTACATGAAGTAAGTTCATACCATAAAGATTGTAATCAATTAGAAACTAAAATAAAAGATATACTTCAATATAATTTTTATATATGATTTTTCAGTCATCAAATGTTTTTTACTAAATACTTCAAGTGAGCAAAATGTAACTTAGTGAAAATCTTTAGATGTTGATCATCCAGGTAGGAAAAGACTAAAGAAGATCAGTAGTATTAGTGTTGACCATTGAACTAAAATACATTGAACGTTACCTGTAATAGAAAAGCCTAAACATTTTGTGAAGCCTAATTTTACACCCAGACAAACAAGATTACACCCAGAGACACAAGATTACACCCAGACCAGATATGCATGTATAGTTCAATCAATTTTCACTTCACAAGAGAATCTCGAAACATTACAGTGACTACACACGCGAGTCTCGCATGCCTGGGTGTAAGATTTGGTTTCAATTATTTGCTTTAGGTAGCATTCCATGTTTTTTAGTTCAATGGTGTTGACTGACATTTTAACATTGTTACCAGTAATCATCTCAACTAGACGTGAAAACATCAATCAAGACTACCCCCAACAGTCCTTCTCAATACTGTAGTATCCTTTATGATCAACATCAACAAACATGCAGCTATATTTCCACAATGTGTTCAAACCATTCACTTTATTGACAAAATGTTTTGCACATGAAATTTACAGCTATAATCCATAATGGAATGTTTTTATTGGGCACCTGAGATCTGATGTATAATTATAGCAAAGTGGGCACCTATACATGCAAATGTTGCATCTCTGATGTCGGTAGAAAATTCAGCCCATTTTTTACTCCTATGTACAATACAAATATTGCTTTAATCAATTACTTTGAAAAACAATGAATGAGATTAATTTCTAAAGAAATAAACAACAAACTTTGCAGGCCTTGCCCCCTGTCTGGTGCACAGTTTACAAACTAACCACTCCACTTCGGGTTATAACAATCAAAGATGTGTTTTTCCAAATGAATAATAAAAAGCAATAATTACCTGTAGATCATAAGGAACATGAGCTTCGTGTGGTTGAAATGACTTGTTCAATATAGCTCCATTCTGAAGAAGATCAACAAGTATGAAAAAAATGAAAAATTTTGATGTTGTTTTATGTTAGAACAACATGAAAAATATATCTTACTTGGGAATTATTCTTGGATTGTACAACTCCATCTTAATAAACTCTTCTTCGTTCTCATGATAACCATAAAATGGTCTAAAAAATAAAATCATTTTGGGTGAATAATATTGAAACGTTATTGGGTCAAAAATGGAAGATTTTGTATTGTGATGTAAAGAAGAGAGTAAAAAAGATTTAATAATAGTAAGCTTTGTCAACATGAGGAGAAAACAAGGAAAATAACTTACATTTTCTTAACAATTTCAGTTTTATGAACATATTTCATAGAAGATGATGTTCTACCAAACGCAACTTGAACAGCAAAGTCTACACTTGTCCTAAATTGTTTCAGATATTTATCTGAGGGTTTAGTTACATCGTAAGGTATGTATAAGTAAGGAAATACTTGATGAATATGAACACAAGTTTTCTGTCCACCAGGAGTTGAGCCAAATATCCTCAAAACTGGAACACGGTTAACATTCGCCTCGCGAAATTTAGAAAACAGAAATCTAAGCCATCTATAGGTTTTCCCAAGTAAAAATCTACATCTACAATCCTAACAGAAAACATTCTGTTGTTCCAAGTAAGAAAATATATCGTCAATTAAAACTTTTGAAAGACGAAAGACGAGAGTTAAATCCGCCATATTTGTTTTAGATTATAGATTAGCCAATCAAAGATTTTATAAGCAAACCCTCGTAATCACCTTTTTGGGATTAGATGGGATTTAGAAATTTTCCAAGGGTGAGCATGACTTTATAGACCTTGCTAGAAAGGCTCACACGTTTGGCGTTAGAAAAAATGCTCCCCAGACGTTCATGTCTTTCGTCATGTCTAACTACGACATTGCATGTAAAGGATTTCCGCTTTCGTCGAGCAAAATAGTGTCGGCATCCTGATGTTTTTGGTCCCGTACACCAATGTCAATACTGAAAATTAATAATAGTTAAATGTGTACAACATTTATGAGTTGATTGAGTTGAACTGAAATTGAATTTGCAATAAAATTTCTAAATCAATCCCTGTAGTGTATATTTCAATTATAGCTAAAATATAAAATTTGCTCATCTCATTTTATCGTCTCGCTGTTATGAACAGAATTCAATATTTCACAATAAAAACAGCAGGTGATTAAAATCAAGCACTTATTGAACATTCCAATTTCTTTATTATCAAGAAAAAGCAAAGACATCATGTAAATGGTTGCGTCTTTATTAATCTTTCTAGATTTGTTAAGGTATGTGGATTATAAAGTTCACCTCTCATAGTGTCACTGTTTATTCTTATGTCTAGAATTTTGTTATATTTGTCATAAAAAACCTGAATGTCATTTTTGTGGAGGAATTCGCACTTCATATGTTTTATATTGATAAATCTGTTCATTTTGGTTGGATTTTCTCAATAATACATTGGAAAATTTATCATTTCAAAATACTGACCTTTCTTGCATTATCACCAACAATGAATTTCACTTGTCTTTTCAAATATCTTTGGTACGGCAAGGCTAGAAAATTAACAAAATGAATCAAAGTTATGACACGTCACAGAATTTCAGTTATGCATATCATAAATGCGGAATGATTTTAATTTTATCTAACATGGCATTTATCAAGAAGAAATTTTTTCCTCATTCATGAAGTCATCTATCTATTTATCTTATTCCTAACACAGATGATGACATAAAAACGTTTTTCTAGATATGTCTTTAGAAATTGCGCCTACTTGGAGTGAAAAGCTCATTTCTTCACGTGATAGTACACGTGATTTTTTCTGGTATATATTTGTTCCACTTGTTGTAAGATAGACTATTTAAAATATTTGTTTTTGTCAAAAGTTGACAAAATGACAAAACTTTGCATGATGAACTGTCAAGTCCAAACGCTAATAATTTTAAAAAATTTCTGATTACTGAGATGTGACAAAATTATTCAAAATTAGAGACTTCGAGATAAATTACTTTGAAATTCCCTTTGTAAATAAAGACTGCCCCTAAAAGTCTTGAGCCCCCCAACTTTTACTTGCTTCTCACGCCCCGGATCAAATTATTTGTTTATCCGGATAAAAAGTTTACAAAATGACAAAACTTCATTGACAACGTTTCAAAGTTGGAACGCTGACAATTTCAGAGTAGCTCTGTTTATCGATTTTCTTAACTTCCAAATTATAAATCTTTAATTTTTCAGCTATCTTACTTGTAAAAGTCAGGCTGCCCCGTCTTCCTTTATGATTATTTCAGTTAGTTTCCATGTAAGTCAGGATGTTCAATAATTGAAATAAATTATATTAAACTGTGAAAGGTTTATTGGCATAAAGCTTTTAAGTCAAAACTTCTTTGTGTTTACTTCAGTCATAGCTAAAATAAAAATTTGCATTTCGTATTTAATTGGGTATGACCAGAATTCAATATTTTACAATAAAAACAGCAGGTGATTAAAATTGAACATTTATTGAACATTCCAATTTCTTTATTATCAAGAAAAAGCAAACACATCATGTAGATTGTTGAGTCTTCTTTAATCTTCTGAATTTGTTGAGGTATGTTGATTTTAAATTTTACCTATCATAGTGTCATTGCTCTTATTTCTAGAATTTTGTTATATTTGTCATAAAAAACCTGAATTTTCATTATCGTGTTGGAATTCGCACTTCATATCTTTTATATTGATACATCTGTTGATTTTCGTGGGATTTTCCCAATAACACATTGGATAATTTATCATTTCAAAATACTGACCTTTCTTGCATTATCACCAACAATTAATTTCGCTTGTCTTTTCAAATATCATTGGTACGGCAGGGCTAAAAAATCAACAAATGAATCAAAATCATGACACGTCACAGAATTTCAGTTATGCATATCATAAATGCGGAATGATTTTAATTTTATCTAACATGGCTTTTATCAAGAAGAATTTTTTTCCTCTTTTATATAGTCATCTATCTCTTTATCTTATTCTTAACACAGATGAGGACATAAAAACGTTTTGCTAGGTATGTCTTTTGAAATTGCGCCTACTTGGAGTGAAAAGCTCATTTCTTCACGTGATAGTACACGTGACTTTTTTCTAAGATATAATTGTTCAACTTGTTGTAGGATAGACTATTTAAAATATTTGTTTGCGTCAAAAGTTCACAAAATGACTAAACTTTGCATGATGAACTGTCAAGTTCAAACGCTAATAATTTTGAAGTATCTCTGATTACTGAGATGTTAAAAAATTATTCAAAATTAGAAACTTCGAGATTACTTACTTTAAAATTCCCTTTTTAAATAGACTGCCCCTAAAATCTTGAGCCCCCAACTTTTGCTTGCTTCTCACGCCCCGGATCAAATTATTTGTTTATCCGGATCAAAAGTTTACAAAATGGCAAAACTTCATTGACCACGTTTCAAAGTTGGTTCACTGACAATTTCACAAAAGCTCTGTTTATCGATTTTCTTAACTTCCTAAATTATAGATCTTTAATTTTTGCGCTATCTTACTTGTAAAAGGCTGGCTGTCCCGTCTTCCTTTATGTTTACTTCAGTTATTTTGAATGTAAGTCAGGATGTTCAATAATTGAAATAAATAATGGTAAACTGTGAAAGGTTTATTGGCATAAAGCTTCCAGGTAAAAACTTCTTTGTGTTTACTTCAGATATGTTTTCTATGAATAAATTTTCTTCATTTTGGTGTGATTTTTAAACACAGATAAATTTTGGATACATTACACGTAAAAAATACGACTTTTTTCACATCAATACCCATTTACTCCAATCGTTTATTTCAAATTATATTAATACAACAAAGTTAATAAATTAACGTGTTGAGTCAAAACAATGACACGTCAAAGAATGTTAGATATGCATGTCATTATGTGCAATAGTTTTACTTTTTCTAACATGGCTTTTATCAAGACGTGTACAACATTTTATACAATATAGGACCAGAATATTTACATCGAAAGAGAGTATGAAGTTTATTATCTAGATGTTTACATTTCGCAAATTTTGCGTTAGATATCTATGGAATAATTAGTTGCTACAGATTTGCATGATCAATATTTTTGTGTTCTTTCAGGTAATTAAAATCAAGCATTTATTGAACATTTCAATTTCTTTATGTTTATTCAAAAATTATTCAAAATTAGAGACTTCGTGATTAATTACTCTGATATTCTCTTTTTAAATGAAGACTGCCCCTAAAGTCTTGAGCCTCCCCCCAAATTTTACTTGCTTCTCACGCCCCTGATCAAATGATTTTTCAATATTTTACAATAAAAACAGCAGGTGATTAAAATTGAACTTTTAGTAACATTCCAATTTCTTTTTTATCTTCAGAAGCAAAGGCATCATGTAGTTGATTGTGTCGTCTTTAATGTTTCTTAATTTGTGAGTGTATGTCGATTTTTAATTCTACCTGTAATTGTTTGTTTTTATGTAATCTATCACAAATGACTTATATAAATAATTTCAGTACTACGCATGTGTTATACGGAAAACACTTAACAATTTTGATGAATTTTTTAAACAAACGGTATTTTATTTTGGACATTTTACCATTGGAAAGTACGTACCTTTCTCATATTTAACATAAACTACACATTCCAAAAGTTTATTTTAAACATTATTTGTATGGAGAAGCTACAAATTGACAAGATGAGTCAAAATAATGACACGTCAAAGAATGTTAGATATGCGTGTCATTATGTGCAATAATTTTACTTTTCTAACATGGCTTTTATCAAGACGTGTACAACATTTTACTTTTTCATTAATTTGTTACGTCTTTTACAATTTACAAATCTTTTGTTAAACATATTCTGAATCGTCAACGAAAAACATTCAACAAGATCTTAAAGATCTTTGGTCAATTTAGATGGTATGTCAACGTACAACCATTAGTATTATAGTAAATACAGGACCAGAATATTTACATCAAAAGAAAGTATAAAGTTTATTATCTAGATCTTTATATTTCGCAAATTTTGCGTTAGATATCTATGGAACAATTAGTTGCTACAGATTTGCATGATCACTATTTTTGTGTCCTTTCTGAGTCTTTGTTGAAAGGCATTTTTGATATGAATAACATTTGTTGATTTTGATGGGGGTTTTTTCGACAATCACAAATAAATTTTAGATAATTTAACGTTGAAAAAACTGAATGTTCCAGCATCATTGCTAGCAATACGATGTAACTAATCAAATATTCCGCTAGTTCATTTCAAATATTATTCATTCACAGGTCTAAAAAATCAACAGGGTGTGTCAAAATAATGACACGTCAAAATGAAAGTCAGAAAAAATGTAAACTTAGGTAAAGTTTTTTTGAGAAAAGTTCTGCTGGGTTGTCATTTAACACTACGTAGCCAATGGTAAACAAGTTATCTTTGTCCACCAAAGCAACAAAATACGTGTTCACTTGATGCATTATAAGAAATATCTGTCATACTATGATCATTATATTATTCTCAAAATAAAGCTTGGAGGCGTCTTGTAAGATGTTAAATTCTTGGTGCAGTTCCATATTTAAAGGCAAAAATTTCGTGTCTCTGATAACATTTTGTTTCCCGCCATTTGCCACACACTATAAAAGTTTTTGTCGTTACGACAACATTGAAGAGCAAAAAAGGTTCTGTGTGCTGTTTACAAGCACTGATAACATCCATACTGCTACTTTATAAATATGTATATTTAAGATATTTCAAAATTTTGTTTTTAGAAAAACAAAGCAGAATCTTGTTAAAAAATTCGCTTGCGGTGATGTTTTTGGATCCTTATGTTTTGTCAATTAAACCAACGCTTTGTTAATAATCTCTACGTGTCGAATAACTGCATTGATGGCTTCGTAACGACACAAACACCTGGTTTCACATTGGGATTGAAGCGTGAGCTTTGGGTTGCTGTTACAATTCCCATCACCAAAAAGGGTATGTGATTGGTTTCTTTCTTTTAAAAACGTGTAAATAGATTGAAGTGTACTTTGTTTGCAATGGTTCAACATCTTAGAGTGATTTATCCATTACTAAGTTTA